GCAGCACAGCAACCATGGTGGAGACTAGGAGGCAGCACAGCAACCATGGTGGAGACTAGGAGGCAGCACAGCAAACCATGGTGGAGACTAGGAGGCAGCACAGCACACCATGGTAGAGACTAGGAGGCAGCACAGCACACCATGGTGGAGACTAGGAGGCAGCACAGCACACCATGGTAGAGACTAGGAGGCAGCACAGCACACCATGGTGGAGACTAGGAGGCAGCACAGCACACCATGGTGGAGACTAGGAGGCAGCACAGCACACCATGGTAGAGACTAGGAGGCAGCACAGCACACCATGGTGGAGACTAGGAGGCAGCACAGCACACCATGGTAGAGACTAGGAGGCAGCACAGCACACCATGGTGGAGACTAGGAGGCAGCACAGCACACCATGGTAGAGACTAGGAGGCAGCACAGCACACCATGGTGGCGACTAGGAGGCAACACAGCAAACCATGGTGGAGACTAGGAGGCAGCACAGCACACCATGGTGGAGACTAGGAGGCAGCACAGCACACCATGGTGGAGACTAGGAGGCAGCACAGCACACCATGGTGGAGACTAGGAGGCAGCACAGCACACCATGGTGGAGACTAGGAGGCAGCACAGCACACCATGGTGGAGACTAGGAGGCAGCACAGCACACCATGGTGGCGACTAGGAGGCAGCACAGCACACCATGGTGGAGACTAGGAGGCAGCACAGCACACCATGGTGGAGACTAGGAGGCAGCACAGCACACCATGGTGGAGACTAGGAGGCAGCACAGCACACCATGGTGGAGACTAGGAGGCAGCACAGCACACCATGGTGGAGACTAGGAGGCAGCACAGCAAACCATGGTGGAGACTAGGAGGCAGCACAGCACACCATGGTAGAGACTAGGAGGCAGCACAGCACACCATGGTGGAGACTAGGAGGCAGCACAGCACACCATGGTAGAGACTAGGAGGCAGCACAGCACACCATGGTGGAGACTAGGAGGCAGCACAGCACACCATGGTAGAGACTAGGAGGCAGCACAGCACACCATGGTGGAGACTAGGAGGCAGCACAGCACACCATGGTAGAGACTAGGAGGCAGCACAGCACACCATGGTGGAGACTAGGAGGCAGCACAGCACACCATGGTAGAGACTAGGAGGCAACACAGCACACCATGGTAGAGACTAGGAGGCAGCACAGCACACCATGGTGGAGACTAGGAGGCAGCACAGCACACCATGGTGGAGACTAGGAGGCAGCACAGCACACCATGGTGGAGACTAGGAGGCAGCACAGCACACCATGGTGGAGACTAGGAGGCAGCACAGCAAACCATGGTGGAGACTAGGAGGCAGCACAGCACACCATGGTGGAGACTAGGAGGCAACACAGCAAACCAGGACAACACGGAGGAAAAGGCACAGACAAACTGCATGATATGCTGTTCAATGTTTATTGAATTCCATGTATTTGCAATGGATGTTCCTAAAACAACACATTTAACATCATCATCATCATCATCATCATCATCATCATCATCATCATCATCATGCTGCTGCTGCTGCTAGTCCTTTGATAGTCACCTGTTGGTCTCCTGTCCTTTCTGAAAGCCATAAAGATGACATTAGTCATTTAGATAACTCGTGTCCTCAGTTACCATGGTTACTGAAACTACCATGAATTTAAGAAAATGGTAGACATGAATCTAATCTGAATTTTAAAGCATTACTTTAGATCCCCTCCCTCTAAATGTATCAATAAACATTAGAAAGTGATGCTCCTGACTACCATACAAGTTTAAGAAGATAATATTGGTTTTAAAGAATTCAAAGCTATAAATAAACAGCAACAGGCTCTTTAACAAGGCACTGTTAGCCTAACATGTAAACTAGTTGTTCACACTAATCCTAATATTATCACTTAATATTAGCAAATTCTATTTTATTTTTTAAAACATATTGATGTAAATACATACACATATCGATTTGTTGTATAAATATTGCAAATCAAAACCTTTATTCACTAATAATTACCAAAAATCGTAGTTCTATCTCCTGTTATCAGTACATTCACATTGCCCGCCATGAACTTCCGGGGAACGATCCTCGTCTACATGAACCACGTGACGATAACCGTTTTTGGACTTCCGTTGTCGTAACTCTTCTATCTATATGGCGCTGAGTGAGCCTATCAAACTGAACCAGGATCAGGTGTCTCTTATTGTGAAAATCCAGTGTTGAATGAGCCTATCAAACTGAACCGGGGTTAGCCTGTCCCTAAAAGGAAAAATGTGTCTAAAATTAGCCTTAAAAGCTAAAGTATAATCAGGTTTCTTCTTAAAGTAAGGTCACAGGCCATTTCCACTGATCATAGTTCCATTGTTGGGGACGGGTAATAACCGGAAAAGCATGACATGTCACCTTTAAAGTAGTCTCTTATTTTGAAAAACCTGTGTTGAATTAAGCATAACAAACTGAACCAGGATCGGCCAGTTTCTTAAAATGTGTATCTTATTGTGAAAAGCCTTAAATGAACTTGACAAACAAAGCCAGCATCAGCATGTTTCATAAATAGTCTCTTATTGTGAAAACCCGATGTTGGACGAGTCTGTCAAACTGATAAAGTTATTTTATTGTGAAAAGCCTGTCTTATATAAGCCTGATAAACTGAGCCAGCGTCAGATAAAGAAGCCTCTTATCGTGAAAAGCCCGTGTTGAAAGGGCCAGTCCCTTCAAAGAAGCCTCTTATCGTGAAAAGCCCGTGTTGAAGGGGCCAGTCCCTTCAAAGAAGCCTCTTATTGTGAAAAGCCCGTGTTGAAGGGGCCAGTCCCTTCAAAGAAGCCTCTTATTGTGAAAAGCCCGTGTTGAAGGGGCCAGTCCCTTCAAAGAAGCCTCTTATTGTGAAAAGCCCGTGTTGAAAGGGCCAGTCCCTTCAAAGAAGCCTCTTATTGTGAAAAGCCTGTGTTGAAGGGGCCAGTCCCTTCAAAGAAGCCTCTTATTGTGAAAAGCCCGTGTTGAAGGGGCCAGTCCCTTCAAAGAAGCCTCTTATTGTGAAAAGCCCGTGTTGAAGGGGCCAGTCCCTTCAAATAAGCCTCTTATTGTGAAAAGCCCGTGTTGAAGGGGTGTTGAAGGGGCCAGTCCATTCAAAGAAGCCTCTTATTGTGAAAAGCCCGTGTTGAAGGGGCCAGTCCCTTCAAAGAAGCCTCTTATTGTGAAAAGCCCGTGTTGAAGGGGCCAGTCCCTTCAAAGAAGCCTCTTATTGTGAAAAGCCCGTGTTGAAGGGGCCAGTCCCTTCAAAGAAGCCTCTTATTGTGAAAAGCCCGTGTTGAAGGGGCCAGTGCCTTCAAAGAAGCCTCTTATTGTGAAAAGCCCGTGTTGAAGGGGCCAGTCCCTTCAAAGAAGCCTCTTATTGTGAAAAGCCCGTGTTGAAGGGGCCAGTCCCTTCAAAGAAGCCTCTTATTGTGAAAAGCCCGTGTTGAAGGGGCCAGTCCATTCAAAGAAGCCTCTTATTGTGAAAAGCCCGTGTTGAAGGGGCCAGTCCCTTCAAAGAAGTCTCTTATTGTGAAAAGCCCGTGTTGAAGGGGCCAGTCCCTTCAAAGAAGTCTCTTATTGTGAAAAGCCTCTCTTTGATGAACATTCAAACTGAACTAGGATCAGTCTGTTTCTTAAAGTAGCCTCTTATTGTGAAAATCCTGTGTTGAATGAACCAGGATCAGGGGATTTCAATCAGGAGTCTCTTATTGTGAAAATCCTGTCTAAAATGAAAAATCCAATTGCAAATATAATATTAAATCGCCTCTAAATGTCGTTTTGATGACATTTGCATAATTGTGTTTGTTTCTCTGTCGTCCAGACACTTACGCATTCATCTGAATTTCCCCCAAAATGAATCTGAACGATCACAGAGTTTAAATCACGTGAAATTTGAAGAGATGTGATGAGATTTGTGCAAAAAACACATCAGATTTTGTTCAGTCTGTGCTGCACGGCTGCTCTGTGGAGGCATTCAGACTCTGAGGATGATGATGATGAAGAAGAAGATGATGATGGTGATGAAGAAGGTGATGCTGCAGATGGAGGGAGGGGGGGTGGGGGGAGGGTCGTGACCTCTGTACTCTGCAGACATCTGTAGCTGCTGCACATTCCCTGACGTCCAATCAGAGCTCTGCAAGAATGTGTGACCTGCAACCCCCAAGCCCCGCCCCCTGACACACACACACACACACACACACACACACACACACTCATCTACCTGTGGGTTAACATTGATCTCTGGGAAAATATATAAAGAGTGAGAGTGGACGGTGTTCTTTATCACGGAGGAAGCTCTTATTTTGAAAAACCTCTCTCTAATGAGTCTGAGAAACAGAACCAGTCTTTATCACAGAGGAGGCTCTTATTTTGAAAAACCTCTCTCTAATGAGTCTGAGAAACAGAACCAGTCTTTATCACAGAGTAGGCTCTTATTTTGAAAAACCTCCCTTAAATCAGCCCAGAAAACTGAGCCATAATCAGTCTGATTTAAAAGTGAGTCTTTTATTGTGAAAAGCCTCTCCTCTGCTGCTGCTGCCCTGACACTGAAAGCACCTGTTAGATAAAAGGTCATAGGGTTAGGGCCATGAGTGAAATCTGTCAGTCAACAGCGCCCTCTGCTGGACAACAACCGGAAGTGACGGTGGAGAAATCATCAGATATTAAACATTATAAGAAATGAATAAAGCATTTTAAAAACATACAAAAAGTGAAAAGTCATTTAGAAAGTTTGAATATATAGAAAATGGAAACATTAAAAACAGAATAAAGAAAAGTTATGGGTGTGTCACAGTGATATGAGTCCGTCGCTCAGAAACAATGCAATAAAACCTTTAAAGTAAAATAAATATTATTGATATAATTAACATAACCCGGTTTAACGCGTTATACAGTTCTTCATGTTGATCTAAACCCTGAGGCAGGAGATGTGATGTTAAAACAAATATAAATAAAATAAATAACGGTTCCGGTAGCACAGCTTCCTGTTCCCTCTGTGTCACACTGATATCGGTCCGTCGCTCAGCCTCGCAGTGCATCACCATGTTTTCGGGTCTGAGAGAGAAGGTGGGCCAGGTTCTGGTTCCGGGAGATGAGTTCAGTCTGGAGGTCCAGGAGACCCTCTCTCTCACCGAACCCCTGAAGCCGGAGAAGGTGCTCCTCGGCCCGGGTCTGAAGAGGAGAGGAGACCGGAAACTGCTGGTGGTGAAGAGCGGCGTGCTGAGACACAAACAGCCCCACGTGTTCTGGGTAGAAAACCATCAGAGGAGGGTGAGTACTTATACTCTGTGTACAAGTACATACAAACAGCCCCACGTGTTCTGGGTGGGAAACCATCAGAGGAGGGTGAGTACTTATACTCTGTGTACAAGTACATACAAACAGCCCCACGTGTTCTGGGTGGGAAACCATCAGAGGAGGGTGAGTACTTATACTCTGTGTACAAGTACATACAAACAGCCCCACGTGTTCTGGGTGGGAAACCATCAGAGGAGGGTGAGTACTTATACTCTGTGTACAAGTACATACAAACAGCCCCACGTGTTCTGGGTGGGAAACCATCAGAGGAGGGTGAGTACTTATACTCTGTGTACAAGTACATACAAACAGCCCCACGTGTTCTGGGTGGGAAACCATCAGAGGAGGGTGAGTACAGTACATGTACACTCTGTGTACAAGTACATACAAACAGCCCCACGTGTTCTGGGTGTCAAACCATCAGATGAGAGTGAGTACATATAATAATAATACTACTACACACACACACAGTGTACAACAGTACATACACACTCTGTGTACAAGTACATTATAATATACACTCTGTATAAGTACATACACACTCTGTGTACAAGTACATACACAAATACATATATATGTAGAAGTACACATATCTTGTACTTGAGTAAAAGTAGAAGTAACTCGGATCTTGTACTCAGTGTATCCTTCTGTCCTCAGTGTGTCCTTCTGTCCTCAGTGTGTGTCCTTCTGTCCTCAGTGTGTCCTGTTCTGTCCTCAGTGTGTCCTTCTGTCCTCAGTGTGTCCTTCTGTCTTCAGTATATCCTTCTGTCCTCAGTATGTCCTTCTGTCCTCAGTGTGTCCTTCTGTCCTCAGTATGTCCTCAGTGTGTGTCCTGTTCTGTCCTCAGTGTGTCCTGTTCTGTCCTCAGTGTGTCCTTCTGTCTTCAGTATGTCCTTCTGTCCTCAGTGTGTCCTTCTGTCTTCAGTATATCCTTCTGTCCTCAGTGTGTCCTTATGTCCTTCTGTCCTCAGTGTGTCCTTCTGTCCTCAGTGTGTCCTTCTGTCATCAGTATGTCCTTCTGTCCTCAGTGTGTCCTTCTCTCCTCAGTATGTCCCGGCTAAAGGAGAGACGATCATTGGAATCATTACGGTCAAATCCGGAGACGTCTTCAAGCTGGACTTTGGAGGAAGTGAGCAAGCGTCTCTGTCCTACCTGGCTTTTGAGGGAGCGACCAAGAGGAACCGTCCAAATGTCCAGGTGAGACACTAGAGACAGGAAGTTTAGGTGTGACAGTGAGGACAGGTGAGACATTAGAAACAGGAAGTTTAGGTGAGACCGTGAGGACAGGTGAGACAGTAGAGACAGGAAGTTTAGGTGAGACAGTGAGGACAGGTGAGACATTAGAAACAGGAAGTTTAGGTGAGACAGTGAGGACAGGTGAGACAGTAGAGACAGGAAGTTTAGGTGAGACAGTGAGGACAGGTGAGACACTATAGACAGGAAGTTTAGGTGAGACAGTGAGGACAGGTGAGACACTAGAGACAGGAAGTTTAGGTGAGGACAGTAGAGACAGGAAGTCCAGGTGAGACAGGAAGTACAGGTGAGACTCTAAGGACAGGAAGTACAGGAGAGACAGTGAGATTCTTGTTACGGTATTAAATTGTCAAACTAAGCAGATAGTAATCTGAAAAGGTAGATATTGCGCAACAGTGGTGCTCCTGGTAATATGTGACTCCTCCCCCTCTTCTGTGACTCCTCCCCCTCCTCTGTGTACAGGTGGGCGACCTGGTGTTTGCGCAGTTCATCGTAGCCAATCAGCACATGGAGCCTGAGCTGGTGTGTGTGGACAGCGCTGGGAGAGCCAATGGGCTTGGAGTATTTGGAGCGGGGGGGCTGCTGTTCAGCGTCTCTCTGGGACTCGTCAGGAGGTGAGATACTGCATTATTACTCATTCAATTAGTGACGCAGAGTGACGCGTCTGAGAGTGAGATACTGCATTATTGCTCATTCAATTAGTTAACTATTTTATCACTTTAAATACACAGTGAATATATCAGAGTGAGCGACGACGTGACGCGTGACGTGTCTGAGAGTGACGCAGAGTGACGTGTGAGAGTGACACAGAGTGACGCGTCTGAGAGTGACGGGTCTGAGTGTGACGTGTCTGAGAGTGACACAGAGTGACGTGTCTGAGAGTGACGCAGAGTGACGTGTCTGAGAGTGACGGGTCTGAGTGTGACGTGTCTGAGAGTGACGTGTCTGAGAGTGACGCAGAGTGACGTGTCTGAGAGTGACGTGTCTGAGAGTGACGTGTCTGAGAGTGACGTGTCTGAGTGTGACGTGTCTGAGAGTGACGTGTCTGAGAGTGACGTGTCTGAGAGTCTGAGAGTGACGCATCTGAGAGTGACGTGTCTGAGAGTGACGTGTCTGAGAGTGACGTGTCTGAGAGTAACGCAGAGTGACGTGTCTGAGAGTGACGTATCTGAGAGTGACGCAGAGTGACGTGTCTGAGAGTGACGTGTCTAAGAGTAACGCAGAGTGACGTGTCTGAGAGTGACGTGTCTGAGAGTAACGCAGAGTGACGTGTCTGAGAGTGACGTGTCTGAGAGTGACGTGTCTGAGTGTGACGTGTCTGAGAGTGACGTGTCTGAGTGACGTGTCTGAGTGTGACGTGTCTGAGAGTGACGTGTCTGAGAGTGACGTGTCTGAGTGTGACGTGTCTGAGTGTGACGTATCTGAGAGTGACGTGTCTGAGAGTGACGCAGAGTGACGTGTCTGAGTGTGACGTGACTGAGAGTGACGTGTCTGAGAGTGACGTGTCTGAGAGTGACGTGTCTGAGAGTGACGCAGAGTGACATGTCTGAGAGTGACGTGTCTGAGAGTGACGCATCTGAGAGTGACGCAGAGTGACGTGTCTGAGAGTGACGCGTCTGAGAGTGACGTGTCTGAGTGTGACGTGTCTGAGAGTGACGTGTCTGAGAGTGACGTGTCTGAGAGTGACGCAGAGTGACGTGTCTGAGAGTGACGTGTCTGAGAGTGACGTGTCTGAGAGTGACGTGTCTGAGAGTGACGTGTCTGAGAGTGACGCAGAGTGACGTGTCTGAGAGTGACGTGTCTAAGAGTAACGCAGAGTGACGTGTCTGAGAGTGACGTGTCTGAGAGTGACGTGTCTGAGAGTAACGCAGAGTGACGTGTCTGAGAGTGACGTGTCTGAGAGTGACGTGTCTGAGTGTGACGTGTCTGAGTGTGACGTGTCTGAGAGTGACGTGTCTGAGAGTGACGTGTCTGAGAGTGACGCAGAGTGACGTGTCTGAGAGTGACGTGTCTGAGAGTGACGCGTCTGAGAGTGACGCAGAGTGACGCGTCTGAGAGTGACGTGTCTGAGAGTGACGCAGAGTGACATGTCTGAGAGTGACGTGTCTGAGTGTGACGTGTCTGAGAGTGACGTGTCTGAGAGTGACGTGTCTGAGAGTGACGTGTCTGAGAGGGACGTGTCTGAGAGTGACGTGTCTGAGTGTGACGTGTCTGAGAGTGACACAGAGTGACGTGTCTGAGAGTGACGTGTCTGAGAGTGACGTGTCTGAGAGTGACGCAGAGTGACGTGTCTGAGAGTGACACAGAGTGACGTGTCTGAGAGTGACACAGAGTGACGTGTCTGAGAGTGACACAGAGTGACGTGTCTGAGAGTGACGTGTCTGAGAGTGACGTGTCTGAGAGTGACGCGTCTGAGAGTAACGCAGAGTGACGTGTCTGAGAGTGACGTGTCTGAGAGTGACGCGTCTGAGAGTGACGCAGAGTGAATTGTCTGAGAGTGACGTGTCTGAGAGTGACGTGTCTGAGAGTGACGCGTCTGAGAGTGACGCGTCTGAGAGTGACGCAGAGTGACGTGTCTGAGTGTGACGTGTCTGAGAGTTACGTGTCTGAGAGTGATGCAGAGTGACGTGTCTGAGAGTGACGTGTCTGAGAGTGACGTGTCTGAGAGTGACGTGTCTGAGTGACGCAGAGTGACGTGTCTGAGAGTGACGCGTGACGTATCTGAGAGTGACGTGTCTGAGAGTGACGCAGAGTGACGTGTCTGAGAGTGACGTGTCTGAGAGTGACGCGTCTGAGAGTGACGCAGAGTGACGTGTCTGAGAGTGACGCAGAGTGACGTGTCTGAGAGTGACACAGAGTGACGTGTCTGAGTGACGTGTCTGAGTGACGTGTCTGAGAGTGACGCAGAGTGGCGTGTCTGAGAGTGACGTGTCTGAGAGTGACGTGTCTGAGTGTGACGTGTCTGTGAGTGACGTGTCTGAGTGTGACGTGTCTGTGAGTGACGTGTCTGAGTGTGACGTGTCTGAGAGTGACGCGTCGGAGTGTGACGCAGAGTGACGCGTCTGAGAGTGATGTGTCTGAATGTGACATTGTAACTGAAGTGAGTGTGTAGATGTAGTGACCCTCGGAGCCAGCAGAGACATTAAAGGGAAATCATCACAGGAACTTTATCTTCTTCTTCCTCTTCCTCTTCCTCCTCAAGGCTGCTCCGCCCCCGCAGTGACGTCCTCTCCGACCTGCAGAAGCTGTTCCCCTGCGAGCTCGTGGTGGGGATGAACGGCCGTCTGTGGGTGAAGGCGAGCAGCATCCAGCAGACGCTCATCATCTGCAACCTGCTGCAGAGCTGCGAAACCATGACAACCGCCCAGAGGCAGCAGCTGTTCAGGAGGGCGGCGCAGGGGGCACTGTAGGGACTACTTTCTGACCGGGAGGGACTACTCTCTGACCGGGAGGGACTACTCTCTGACCGGGAGGGACTACTCTCTGACCGGGAGGGACTGCTTTCTGTCCGGGAGGGACTGCTTTCTATCTGGGAGGGACTACTTTGACGGGGAGGGACTACTTTCTGACCAGGACTACTTTCTGACCGGGAGGGACTACTTTCTGACGTATTCCTGTCCAGGATTGTCTGATGTCGTGTGGAAGAATAAAGACTGCAAACCCCGGACGGTGTAAAAAAACAATAACTTTTTTTTTTATAATTCCTGAGTTTTCCACGAGGTGCCGAACTTTTCTTCCTGCAGTGTTGAGACAGTGTTGTAATGTTTAGTTAATCTTTGTTTGTTTGTTCTTCACGTTTTGGCCTCGGCTCACGGCCAATCAAACTGCAGACATTCATAAACAAACTTTTCTCACACAAGTCGTAGTGGTTTTTATTATGAATGCATTATACTTCTGAATTAGTGCCGTAGCCACAGGTTGCTGACGTCGGCGACTTTTTAACTTCACAGAACTAATTAGAAAAGTATAAATATAATAATATCAATACTTGGATTAATTTACTTCAACATACAGTTTACTGCTAATGGAGTATTTCTTAAATAAAGGCTTCTTCCTGCTACAGAGAACATATCAGTTCATCTCTGTAAGGTCTGCACATTAGTTATTGGTGTATAGAGAGGTTCTCTTCAGTGTGATGCAACCCGCTCAGAGAGGCTGCCAACTGGAGGATTAGAGCCTCGTTATTTTAGAACAGGAACTCGGAGCTTTCTCTTGGAATTTAAAGGTCAACATTTAGGCAATAGCATAGGTCTCAGATATATACAAATGTTTTGCTCAAAATACCAAACAGATAACCCTAGCCTCATTCCCCTCTATTTCAGCCTGTTACTAAAGTGCTGATTTGGGTATAAAGCTTTTTTTTATAAAAGAGTGAGAGGGGGCGGAGCTTATGCCTGCTCATACGGGACCGGCAGATACTGCCGGGATGAAACGCCAAAACCACATCAGGATTCTCTCTGAAACAGGATGGAGCTCAAACTCTTTCTCTCTCTCAGGTTTACCACAAGGTGACTTCATTTTGATTTCCTGCTTCTTCACACACTCTCTCTCCAGTACAGGTTAGCTCTGAGTGTTAGCATGCTAATGGAAACACAGACCATATTACTTCCAGAACACGTCTCATTGTTTCTGACAGCAACGTTTCTGATTGGCCCGTGGGTTTAAAGCCCGCCCACATTAGAGTAATGTGGTCATGGTAGACGGAACAACTCGAAATGCTCAGACCTCGGGCTGCCTCGCTGGCCGTCCGAGGCCGTGGCGCATTTCCATTACAGTTTAGGACCTGGGGTAGCAACGCAGTGTAGGCGGGGCTCCCGTCGAGCTCCCGCTGGATTTTATCATCCCCAATGAGATGTAGGAACGTCGTCACCTCCTCGGTCGACCACGGTGTGCTTTTCTTTGACGTTGCCATTTTTGTAGCTCCTCCGTTTACAAAAATGCTGTGTATAAAAATGCTGCAAGCTTGCTTCTAGATATATATGCGACGCTAGGGATGATCTAGCGTGCAATATTGTGACGATTCTCTCTGACCAATCAGCAGTCGAGAGTGTTGACGTCACTAGTTTC